CCATATGGCTGGGAAGGACTCTAGAGCTCTAAACTGTTATTTTACAGAAGACATAATTAAGACACAGAAATGTTAAGTGACTTGACTGAAGCCATAGGCTAATTTGTGGCAGATCCTTGGCCAGAATTCAGGTCTTGATTTTATAACAGTATTCTTTTTTATCTCTTACTAGCCTCAGGAGCTAGAACAAAGGGTGAAAAGGCAAAAACAGAATCTATATGGCAAAGAGTTCTTGAACACCCCAAGGTATCAGAGTCTTTAGATGAAATTGACTTATCAAATCCTTAGGATCAGAAATCTTTTGAGATTTTCTTCTGAATCACCAGGGGTCAATATACTTTTAAAAGCCCTTTAATAGCCAATGCTTTGTGTGTGGTTTGAATGGAAGTCTTTCAAAGGAGGAGAATAAAGTTGTTATGAGAGAGGCAGAAATTTTATCACTGGGTCTCCTGGTGAGTTAATGATTTCAAGTATAAGAGAAACAGATTCAGTGAGGCTTGTTTTTGTCTTCCTGTCAGGGCTTCGGCTGACCAAGCTAGGGTGGGGTTTAAGAGAGTCAAGCTCAAGATTGTAGAAACAGCAAGTTGGTTTTATATGCCTGCTCTTCATCCATTTTTGTCTCCCGATAAACTCAGTTATCCCAACATTGATCCCCTGACTCACTCATTCATCTCAGCTTTGGGTAGATCCGTTATGGTCTTTATTATGTTTTTAGTTTGGCCCAGTTCAAGATAAGGTTTCCTTCACTTCCATTTTTCTTTTCCCACTCCCAATAAAACCATGTTTACATTCCTAGAAATGTGCTTTTTGTTTGTTCTTCATTGAGCATTAGATTTTTATTTGAGATTTCTGGCAGTTTGGCAGGTGATAGTTGGCAAGGATGGTACAGTGGTTTAACAGTGTCTAAAGATTTTATGTATTTATTTTAGAGAGAGAGTGGGTGCACACGCCCAAGTACAGAGGGAGAGAGAGAATCTCAAGCAGACTCCCTGCTGAGCACGGAGCCCCACATGTGGCTTGATCTCAGGACCCTGAGATCATGACCTGAACCGAAATCAAGAGTCACATGCTCAACCGATTGAGCCACTTAGTGCCCTTAAACTATGTCTTTAATATTGGGCTTCTATTGTTCTTGAAACAGAAGTGTATCAAAAGTAGAATCTTTATTTGAACACATTGTTTTTATGATAGAAATGACTTAGAAATGCAAAAGGATTTTGGATTATTGATGGATTTGCCTGAGTTTTCAGATTAAAGACATACACTGTAAAAAGGTAGAAGTATAGTTTGTGGTTTAAAATCATTGATCATTTCAGAAAAATAGACCTCTAGATATGTAAGACCATGAATAATTTTATCGGGTAAGAGGTCCCATTAATATTCTGAATCAGTATTTGTTTTTATTTAGAAGGAAAACAACATTCCAAAATATACGGGGAAATGAAATTCTGCTCTATATTATGTATGTCAGGGTTTTTCTTACCTTTGTGCTTTATACTTGGCACCAATCCCTTCTCCCTTCCATCTGCAATTCCCACTTAACCGGCTCCTCTTTAAATCCTACCTGGTTAAACAATGTTAAGTTACCAGAGAGTCCTTGTCAAATCCTGAGGACAGAAGTTCTAGGAGATGTTCTTCTGGATCATTCTGAATTAACATACCTCTAAAAGCCCATCTTTATTGATCAAATGCTATGTGAACTTACTTGAATTTAATTCCATCCAGAAAAGAGAATAGTTAAGATTCCCGGCTGCACCATGAAAATTCTGCACTATGCCACACATATAGCCCAGCATTCTCAGAACTCCTAAACTTAAGTCTACGCAGCTTAGTATTTAATTTTTCTCTAATTGTTTTGAAGTTATTTCTTATATCCACATTTAGGCAAAAATCTATATATACTTAAGTGTTCATGTAAGTCACTGCTGGGCACTGGGGGAGGATTTTTTTTTTTAATGGAGAAATCATTACTGATCTGAAATCATTGACTCATCCATTCACCAGACAATCACTTAGCATTTTCTGTGGGATAGGCTCTGTGTTAGGTACTGGGGATATTAAGTTAATCAAGGTCACTTGGCTGTAATCAACAGGAAACTTGACCAACAGGTGCTTAAACCAGGGTCGGTTAACTTTTTCTATAAAGGGTCAGTTAGTAAATATTTAAGGCTTTTCCATATGGTCTTTATTACAACTACTCAGCCATTGTAAGAGCAGCCCGAGACCATGTGTAAGTGAAGGGGCATGACTGTATTCCAATAAACCTTTATTTACAAAAAACAAGACATGGGCCCCATTTGGCCCAAGGCCATAGTTTGCTTGTTTAAACAAATGGGACTTTATTATTCTTAGCTGGGATACCCCCAGATAGCAATTATTGTATTAGAGGCTCAATTCAGGTTAGTTCCACTGTCCCTGAAATTTTTTGGCTTTTTCCCTATGCTTGCAAGATGACTGCTCTTCTCCAGCTATTAGGAGGACACTTCAGGCA